AAAACAATACCAGAATCTATTGACAAAATGTTTTGTTTACAGATAAATGAGGATGGTCATTTAAAACTAAGTAGAAAACATGCATATTATTATCAGGTTCAAACTCAGCTTGGTGTTTGTAAATATGAATTCGGTTATTTTGTTTTATGGACTGAAAAGGGCATTCACATTGAGATAATACAATTTAATAGTTCACTTTGGGAAGAAATTGTAGTAAAATCAGAACGGTTATTTAGAATTGCAATTTTACCTGAACTAGTGGGGAAATTTTATTCTCGGTTACCTAGCACCTGTTTCAGTACCAGCACTCACGCTCTTAATAAGGTATCAACATCATCTGAGGGAGACGTGTTGTATTGCTATTGTGAACAGGTAGAATCCGGTGAAATGATTGCATGTGACAATGTGAATTGTGAAATTAAATGGTTCCACTTTGAATGTGTTAAAATAAATAGGGCTCCCAGGTCTAAAAAATGGTACTGTCCTGACTGCAGGAAGCTTCCAGAATTTAGGCGTGGTGGGAAAAATAAAGGAAAACCATGAAATGTAGTGTTTTTAAAATTTGGTTCACCAAATAGTTTAACCATGTGATGTGTTTGATCAAAATACTTACCTTTGCAAACTCTGACAATTTTACCTTAAATGTTGCTCTTCTGGGATGTAGGAAATATTTGAATAAGAAGGAATTATGAAAATTACAGCAAGAAATTTTAACAACCAAATGTAGGTGTTGTCATATGTATGTATTGACTGCTAATTTTTACAGAAGAACATTTCTTGCCCACAGCAGGTTTTTTTGCTGCCTTCTGCCTATTCTCTACCTCCCTGCTCTTTGAGTTTCAAACTGATTCTGAGACACATCATTTTGTATGTAGTTGTGCTTACAATGTAATTTTAACTTTATTTTGTCATGCCAGATATAAACTACTGTATATAAAGATCATCCATTCATTTGATTGTGGAATGTATATACATACCGGTATATCAACACTGTGAAAGCAACATAATAAAATGATTAAATTATTATTTGTTGTATTGTTTTTATTTGACAAATGTCATTGTATAGCCTCTTGACTATAATAAAAATATTGCATCATTGCAGTACATGCAACAGAAAAAAAAACGGCTGCTAGTACCAGCTAGAAATACACATCCTCTGTATTCATGGATGAAAAAATTAAATGTTTAGCAAAAACAATTACCATATTTAGTATTAGTAGCGCATACTGTTACGTAAATGAGTCTGTGATGTTTCCATGGTCAAAATCATTTAATCTTTGAATACTGTGTTTTATAAATAATGTACTGAAACATATGAAACATTTGAACAAGCATGAAAAGTATACATTTTATTCTCTTACAATACCAAATAATCTGGGTAAGTATTTTAGTCAAAGCAAACAATTGGTTCATTCAAATTAGTAAGTGCACAACATACATAGCATATTTTGTCTATCTTTGTCATCCTGTCACTATCTTTAGAAATAAGATAATCTATGGGCAGTGTGCCATCCAATATTGTGTATTTTTGACGAACCAGGCCAATCACACGTTCAACATGAATTCGACAGTGAGCTACCTTGCGTGTTTGTTCAACTTCAAGGGCAGACAACTGACCCTTACCCCGAGTGAATGCTGGAATTTTGGCTTCTGCACACATGCAGCCCACCAAATCCTGTATATCAAACCCCCGATCTGCTAATATTACATCCCCTGGTAAAATATGATCAAGAAAACCCGAATTTTCAGTGATATGCTTATCTGATGCCCGCCCACCCCAAGCCTTAGAAACAAAAGAAACAGCACCCTGAGGTGTTATACCTAACAAAAACTTAACTGTATTATGGTGTTTGTAGTTGGACCATGTTTGTGCCCTGGCAGTGAGGTTGGAGGGTCTTTCTATGAAAATTTCAAAGCAGTCAATAATCACAGCTACTTTCTTCCCAAAGTGCTTCACAAATTCCATAGGCATTGTTTTGTACAACACCTCCCGTTCAGGCGAGAACACAAATGGTTTAGTTCTAACATAAAGTACATTAATGACATCAGAAAACACTCTTGATATTGTAGACTGTGATACATGAAATTCATATGCTAAAAACTGTTCTGCAATA